TATACATACGAAGGAATTGAAAGCAGGCTCTCAAAGAGGTATTTGCACACCCATGATCCTCACAGCATGATTCACAATAGCCAAGTGGTAGGAGCAACCCAAATGTACATCAATAAATGAGTGGATAAAGAAATGTGGTAGATCCATACAACGGAGTATTGTGCAACCTTAAAAGAGAGAGATCCTGCCCCAGCCATGGCTCAGTGGTTAAGCATCAACCTATGAACCAGGTCACAGTTCAATTCCCAGGCAGGGCATATGCCTGGGTTGTGGGCTTGATCCCCAGTGGGGGATGTGCAGGAGGCAGCCAATCAATGATTCTCATCATTGATGTCTCTCTCTCTCTCTCTCTCTCTCTCTCTCTCTCCCCCTATCCCTCTCCCTTCCTCTCTGTTATCATTAAAAATATTTTTTCAAAAAAAAAATAAAAATAATTGACCTTTCTCATATACTTATTAAACGATGAGTGTGAAAAGAAAAGAACAAGGACAACAGCAGCACTGCTGGGATCAAACAGCTTCCCACAGAGGTTAGTTTGAAGGACTTCACTAGTTTTGAACATATAGTTTAGTAGCACCTTTTTAAAAAGAATAGCAATCGTGTCAGAAAAAAAAAATGGAAATACATACAATAAATTGGATATTGAACATGAAAATCAACAAACCTTCAAAAAAAAAAATGATGTAGGAAGTCCTTCTGAGTCATTTGTATATCCTCCACTGGAGGTTATCACTTAAAATTTGAGTAGCATTTGTGGAGCCCATCAACAATTTCACAAAAGCAGCACATCCACTTGTGATTCTCTTTCTCTAAGGCGAAGAGAGAAGTAAACTCTCCAAACTTCTATTTTTCACCTTGAAATCACATTTTGACTTCAATAGCTAAAACGAACTAGGTACTGAAATGAAAAGACCAAACAACAGAGCTGTGTGTGATGGTGGGGAGGAAAGGAATCGGAGAGAAGCGAAGATACCCTGACGTCCAGCCAAGTCCGGGTTTTTAATTTATTTTAGTAATTTGTAGTGTTTTTCTCATAAACACAATTGAGATGGTTAAGGGAAAAACCTTTCCGGGGTCCCTGCCCAGGTAGGCAGATCTGAATGCTCCTTCTCTAGTTCCGCTGCATCGTCACTTATGCACTCATTCTAGCGCTACTGAACGATTGAACAAAACAGGGGACCACCACCACCCAAACAAGCCAACAAATAACCAACCCCTCAGTCACTGAGTTACTGACCACCATGTACATCCTTTGACTTAGTGGTAATCAACTCATCAAAGTTTATTTTTTTTTAGATTCCACACTGCAACTAATTTTTGTTAATCTTTACCCAAGGATATTTTTGTCATTGAATTTTATTTTTTAGAGAGAGTGGGAGAGGGAGAGACAGAAAGAGAGCTACATCAATGTGAGAGAGACACATCGATTGGTTGTCTCCCACACTTGCCCCGACTGGGATTCGAGCCTGCAAAGGAGTACATGCCTTTGACTGGAGTCGAACACATAGAATGGGAAAAAATATTTGCAAATCACGTATCTAATAAAGAGTTAGTATCCAGATTGTATAAAAAACTCATAACTCGTCGGGACCGGTTTGGCTCAACGGATAAAGCGTTGGCTTGGGGACTGAGGGGTCCCGGGTTCAATTCCGGTCGGGGCGTGTACGTTGGTTGCGGGCACATCCCCAGTGGGGGATGTGCAAGAGGCGGCTGATCGGTGACTCTCTCTCATCGATGTTTCTAGCTCTCTGTCTCTCTCCCTTCCTCTCTGTACAAAATCAATAAAATATATTTTAAAAACAAACAAAAAAAAACCTCATAACTCAAGAACACAAAGATAAAAACCCAATTAAAAAATAGGCAAAGGTCCTCAATAGACATTTCTCAAAAAAAGATACACAAATGGCCAATGAGTACAGGATAGATGCTCAACATCATTAGGCATCAGGGAAATGCAAATCAAAAACATAATGAGATACTTCTTCACACACATGAAGATTGCTAAAATAAAAAAGATGGTGAATGACAAGTGTTACTGCACACATGGGGAAAATGGAATTCTCAGACACTACTGATGGGAATGTAAAATGGTGCAGCCACTTTAAAAAACAGTCTGGCAGTTTCTCAAAAGGCTAAATATAGTTACCATATGATCCAGCATTCCTACTCTCAGATACAGGGTTGGGCAATAGGTTTACAGTTGTGAGTACATGAAACAGAATTCATTCTTGTATTACTATTTATTAATTATTGTATTATTTTCCATATGTAAGCCTTTTGCCCCATCTTGTATATACCCAAGAAAACTTAAAACTTATGTTTATACAAAAAACTTGCACTCGACTGTTCACAGCATCATTCATAATAGCAAAAAACAACCAAAATGTCCATCAATTGATGAATAAAGAAACAAAATGTGGCATGTCCACGAAACAGATTATTGAGCCATAAAAAGGATACTGATGCATACGACCACATCAATGCATCTTGAAAATATTATGCTAAGTGAAAGAAGTCAGACACCAAAAACCACATATTCTGTGATTCAATTTTTTTTTTTTTAAAAAAACATCCAGAACAGGCACATTCATAGAGACAAAATAAGTTAATGGTTGTCGGGGGTTGGAGAAAAGGGAGAATGGGAACTTCATGGGTATGAAGATTTTTTTTGGGGGGTGATGAAAATATTCTGGAATTAGATAGTGGTAATGACTGCACAATGCTGTAAACATACAAAAAAAAACAATGAAATGTGCCCTTCAGAGGAGTGAACTTTATGGTATGTGCATATCATATCTCAAATTTTTAATAAAAGGCAAATGGCCCTTAGAAAATTGATTTCCTCGCTTCTATTTGAGACCACCTACTGGTTCATAGGAATATTTAATAGTTTGCAATGATATTTGACATTTATAATACCACTGTAACAAAATACTACAAAATTTATTTTTAACCTAATTATGTATAGATCTCATCTGATGGTCTACTTGTATTTATTTTGCTTCTAAACAATAAAAATCTAAAAATTCCTCTGAGTTCATGATTTATGTCATAGTCCTTTTTAAAATTTGTGTTTTTCTTAAGTAAATTAAGCTAAACAAGTATCTTTATTTTAGAAATTTTAGTAATATTGTCATCTAGAAACAGTAAAAAAATACTGCTCCTGCAATGACATCAGTTTATCTTCAAGCAGTCCTTTAAAATTTCGTTCCTGTTCATGGGACAATAAAAAGGTTAGGCAAGCCCCGCTGGTATGGCTCACTTGGTTGAGCTTCCTGTGCACCGAGAGGCCGCCAGTTCAATTCCTGGTCAGGGCACGTACCCAGGTTTTAGGTTCGATCCCCAGTTAGGGTGCAAATGGGAGGCAACGGATCAATGTTTCTCTCTCACATTGATGTTTCCCTCTCTCTTTCTCCCTCTCCCTGCTTCTCTCTAAAATGAATTAAAAAAAACAAACATTTTTTAAAGGTTAGGCAAAAAAACAACAAATTTTCAATATCAGTAATACAATGTAATATGTATAACCCAATTAGTAGGCCATGAAACAAAAGCAGACTCTCCCCCACCCCCTCGGAAAATAAATACAATTTTAGTCTTATTCTAAGCAGGAATAAGACTTTAAGTGAATTTTTTTCAAAGCTCTGGAAGGAAAACATACTCTCCATCTTCTGTCACATTATTGTGTGTATCTGATTTTCAATATCAGAAGGCAGTAAAAATATAATCCACAAGAAAAGCTCTGTACGCATTTGCAATGGAATGAAATGAAATGAATTCTAGACTGATAGCACTTATATGGAACTATACATAGTTAATTAAGACCGATCCTTCTAAAAATGCTGAGTATAAAGAGGAGGGCTTAAATACTTATAAAATAAGCATAAAGACCTGCCATGATCAAGCTACACGCTAAAAAGGTATCAACAGATTACAATAGGGCAACATGATTTTCATTTTTAAGTTCAATGAAAATTGCATATATTCCGTTTTTATTCTTAAACACAGGTGGTATGTACTATTATCGGGGCTGGCAAGATATAAGAACAGAAAGGATGACCTTCTCCAGTTTCAACATTATTTTTGTAGTAATGTATATAAACTCTAACCACTGCTTAGGCAAACTTGGGAGAAAGCAAGCCTAAAAGATGAAAACGTTCACAGCTTGCAAATCAATATACTATTATCTTATCAGAATGTGAGGCTCAAATTTATTTCCTTGAAAACAGAGCGCTAAACAGCTTCTAACACAGTCATCCAGCTGGTAGTTAAGCTGTGTCTAATGTGTACACAGAACCTTTAAGACTAACACATCGAGGAATTCTTTTGAATTATGTGTATTCAGATGATGGTGCTCTAATTCAAACTGAACAACAACAAAATCTTGATAAAACAAGCACTGGAAGAAATAAAAACTGATTTCTGAACCAAAGGTGTCCAGCCTCACGCTACTGAATCTGGGAAATATGGCATGGAGCAGGTAGGCTGCACGTGAAGACAACCGGTACTGAAATTCAAGAGAAGAGTCACAGCCCAGGCGCTACCTTTTCTTTTACTAGGTAGCCTCAAAGAACTTTTATCAGGGTTTTTTTCTAGTAGCACATCTTTTCTAAATCTCAGTTTGCATTCCAGAAAATATAAGAAACAGTTTGCAAGAATGCATGCAAATATGTTTCTCTAAGGCCATGAACTGGTTTGCTAAGTTGCATTGTTTTATTCAAGTAAAGAGCCCTTCTAGTTAAGATTCCATAAAGGAAACCAAGTACCTTCTTCACCTCTCGGGCCTGCACACATATTAGGTTTCTCCCATTCAAAGTCAAAAGGTAGAATGCTTATTAGAGCATTGCCAAATATTTACACTGTAAAAAATCTAATGCATGTTTAGTTTTTCTGGTAGATTCTTTTTGTACATTACAAAAAAAAAAAGCGCAAAAGCTTAGAATAAGAATCCTTTTTTTCTTTTCTTATAAAGGTCAAACAGATACTTCTTGACATGCTGTCCTTTACACAATGGCATACTGTTCATATAAAAGGTCTCTTATCCTATAAAAATCTTGACAAAGGCAGCCTTCTAATCCGATGCGTCCAGTTTCCGTCTACAAACCAAGTGGGGAAAAAAAAGTTCTTTAGTACATTCTCTACCATTAATATGCAGACATAACCAAAATATGTTAACTAGATTACTTTAGGATTGGTCAGGAAATGGATTGCTCTGATTCACGGAATATGGGTATATTATTCAAGTCATGAATTTTACATACATATAAATGTCAGAGAACTCAAATAAAAATTTACAATAAAATTATCAAGTCTTTGAGAGTCACTTTTTAAAGCCTTCAAGGTCATCATTATGAATATAAATTACTGATTTTCAGTTCTGTGAAATTGCCAATCAAGAATTATAGAGGTCAAAATATCAGAAGCAGCTGTTCAATTCAACCCTTATTAATTAATAAACACGCTTACTCTACGAACTGCCACTTGATTGTTGCAAACAAGGACACCTCCTACAAATTCAGCTTGGATCCCCTCCCGTAAGAGAACTTGCTTGAAGTCGGACAGTCTGGGCTCGTTCATGAAGACTGACTGGTGTCCAGGAACCTCGGGTAAGAGGAAAGGGGAAGAAGAACTTCAGACAGACGACCAGACACACAGCTGTACTAATGAAAGTAAAACAACCCATGATCTTGAAGACATTTCTATTATTCCCTGAAGTCCTTTGACAGATCATCTCAAGACGGTAAATCACATTCCAAGTTGTTACTCTGAATCTCACCTCATTATTTGACATTACAAAGGCCTTCACATGTTCTGAATGCTTCATCATCAATTTTATTAGTCATGCCTCATAATAACAGAGGCATTTGGGAATGTTGTGCTCTGCACTCACCCACTTGCTTAAGGGGGTCAAGCAGAGTGCCAGCAGGCAGAGCTGAACCAAAACCCCTTTGCTTAGTTCAGAGGAGATTTTCTCCGATCCAGTGCCACTTCCCTCCTCCCTCAGAGCAAATGCAGGGATGCGGTGGGCTTCAGAACTGCAAAGACAAGTGGTACAACCTAATGCTGCTCCTTTGAAATTGCTTTGACAAGTGCTAGCTTCAGCACAGACAAAAATTCTAACTCCTCCCCATCTCAGGAGCAGTGCTGGCAGGGATGGAGGCTGTCTCTATTCTTTACTGCTGAGAAGGGCTAAGCCAGCACTTGACATGCATGTAAGACTCTTATAATACAGTCTTAATGCTGTAAGTTAATTCCCCAACCCTTGCTAAGTAGATATCTCTTGAGAACATGTCAACTCTAGACTAGAATTATATTTATACTATGAATAAAGATTTCTAACTATATCAAAACTGAGTGGTTTGAATTGTATTGACAACAGACAAAACTGGAGTGCAGGAGTATGATATTCTAGAAAACTATAAATCTCCCAATTAGAGGCAGGTAGATGATTCTCACAATCATCAAACTTAAAAGTCCATACTAAAAAAAAAAAAAAAAAATCATGAAACAATTATGTATCTTTTAGGAACATATGACATATATTGTAAATGGAAAACTCAAGGATGACAAATGAAGGAAAAGACAGAAGCAGCGCATGCTTTCCTACCTCATTAGGTGGCAAGGGTTCCAAAGTTGGGATGACCTCACTTTCTTCACCTGTTTCTTTCTCATCATCTCCAAACAGACTCTTCATGGCCTTTTGTTGGGCGATGACGCTAGCATCGGAAGGTGCCTCCACTTGCATTTCTGAGTCCTCTCCATCATCCTTCAGTTCTCCTTCTTCTAAAATAACTCCTGTGTCCACTTTGGAAACTCTCATGTCTAAGACACCATCTATCCAAGCCAGTTCTGCGTCTTTGGCCTTACAAAACTGAAGGGAGCTCACCAGTGAGTCTTTTAATCTCACCTACACATGCAAAGGGGAAGAAGAGAAATAAAACCCAGAAATAAATTAACCTATTACTGTCATTTTCTTAGTCTGGTGCATTAAAATTTCAAAATCTTTCACTCATCTGATCTTTACCATGATTGGTGATGACCTAATAACCTATAAGATCACTGGCCCCTGTCTACTTTCCAAAACAAAGCTTCTAATGCAGACTGCATTCTGGGGTCACACAGCAATTATTTTTTTTTCATTTATCAGTGCCACTTGCAATGATTCGAATATAACAAGTGAAAATAAGACCGGGCATTGAGACCCAAAATTTCCCCAAAGATTCCCCCAATGTACAGGTAAGGTTGAAAACCACTGATAAGTGACATTCACTAATATCTGATGGTACTAGAGCAGTACTGAGTTGCATAGAGCTTTCTAAATAAGCCATGAGGTTTCACACCTCCATATTCTTAGAATGTTGCTTCCTCCTGCTTTGCCCAGAATGACTGTTTTGCCTGGTAAATTCTAATCCATTTTTTCCAAACATAGATATCACTTCTGCCTTCACCAATACCATCTCCCAGTAACAAATAAGAGTTAATCAGCCGAGACTGGTTTGGCTCAATGGATAAAGCGTTGGCTTGGGGACTGAAGGGTCCCAGGTTCGATTCCAGTCAAGGGCATGTACCTTGGTTGCGGGCATATCCCCAATAGGGGGTGTGCAAGAGGCAGCTGATCGATGACTCTCTCTCATCGATGTTTCAAACTCTCTATCTCTCTCCCTTCCTCTCTGTACAAAATCAATAAAATGTATTAAAAAAAAAAAGTTAATCAATTTCTCCCCTATTCCTATTTTCTGTGCCTGTCTCTTTATTTTTTTTTCTATTAGTAAGATCCTGAAATCTGTGAATTTTTATACAACTTTTGAATTCTTGAACACTCACCATTTCCCTCAGCTGTGTATTTTTGCAAATGTAATTCCCTCTCTGTCCTAGTCTATATACATCCCTGAGAATCCATCCATTTGAGTTAATAATCACTTCCTCTGGAAAATCATTTTTTTCCTTTAATATTTTTTTATTGATTTCAGAGAGAAAGGGAGAGGGAGATAGAAACATCCATGATGAGAGAGAATCATGGATCGGCTGCCTCCTGCCAAGTCCCCCACTGGGGATCAAGTCCACAACCTGGGCATGTGGCCTGGACTAGAATCGAATCTGGGACCTTTCAGTTTGTAGGCTGACACTATTCACTAAACCAAACCAGCTAGGGCCTCTGGGAAATCTTTTGTAACCTCTAAATATGGGTTGGTCTCCCTCTTTAGACTCTCGTAACATCCTCTACTTTCTCTATGAAAAGTATAACCGTGTGATTAATACTATTTCTTTGCTATAAGCCCCAAAGACTGAGATCTGCTAGGGCAGGGGAGCACGTCTGTGTTACTCACTGCTTTATTCCTAATGCAGCTGCCCACCCTAATCTGCAACAGGAAGCACTTCCTTGTGGGTGGCTCTAGTGCCAGCACACTTACCTGGTAGATGTGGGTCTCGCTGGTGGCGTCCACAGTCTCGTGCAGCTTCGGCATGTACACTTTAATATCTTTCCCACCGAACGCACGGCAGCACTCTGCAAGATCCTGACTGGCCTCTGGCGGCCCATGGACAATGATCAACTGTCGGGGTTTCATCTGATTGATGATCTTTTTAATGGAATCCCCATCGGAGCGTCCTTCATAGTCTATGTAAGTAACCCTGGCTCTGTAATTAGACATAATTATTCAATCTTACTTTTCTGATAACTCAAAATCTAGGATTTAATGACTTTTACTATCCAGAAAGAAACATATATAGTATATAAAATGAGGCTTTTTATTATTAATGTGTATTTGAGAGAGGTATTATGGATTCTTTAATAGGTGTTAATAGAAAAAAAATGGCTCACTATACAAAGAAAAATAAAACTGGGTCTTCACCTAATACCTCATAAAACAGCAGGTGAGTTGAAGCCATAAAAAAAAAAAAGTGAAGCTTTAGATTAAGGAATAAAATATAAGAATTATTTTTGTGACCAAGGACAGGGAAGGACTTTTTAAAATATGAAACCCCAAATGCCTAATGAGAAATATTCTATTATTTCCTTACATCAAAATTAAAGAAGATTTTTAAACAAAGTAGACCATGGGCAACTCTTATAAACAAACTAGAGGCCCGGTGCACAAAATTCATGCACGGGGGCGGGGGGGGGGCCCTCAGCCCAGCCCTCACCCTCTCCAATCCAGGACCCCTAGGGGGATGTCTGAGTGCCAGTTTAGGCCCCAGGGATTGGGCCTAAGTCGGCAATTGGACATCCCTCTCACAATCCTGGACCACTGGCTCCTAATTGCCTGCCTGCCTGGTCACCCCTAAATGCCCCCCTGCCAGCCTGGTTGCCTCCAACTGCCTCCCCCCTCTGCTGGCCTAGTTGCCCCTCACTGCCCCCCACCAGCCTAATTGTCCCCAACTATCCCCCTTCCCCCCGCCAGCCTGGTCATCCCCAACTGCACCCCCACCCCCCCACCAGCCTGGTGGCCCCACGCAGACTGCTGTTCAGTTGTCTGGTCGTCCTTCACTAACCCCCCAGCCGGCCTGGTCACCTCACAGGCAGCCTGCCTGTTCAGCCGTTAGGTTGTCCCTCACTAACACCCCTGCTGGCCTGGTCATAGGCAGCCATCTTGTGAGGGTGTGATAGTCAATTTGAATATTACCTATTTATTATATAGGATACTAGAATGGGAGGTGGTACTTATTGGCATTGTCTAAGACCAGCCAGCAATAATATCCAGAATAGCCGAAACCAGTTTGGCTCAGTGGTAGAGCATTGGTCTGCGGACTGAAAGGTCCCAGGTTCGATTCTGGTCAAGGGCATGTACATTGGTTGTGGGCACATCCTTGGTAGGGGGTGTGCAAGAGGCAGCTAGTTGATGTTTCTCTCTCATCAATGTATCTAGCTCTCTATCTCTCTCCCTTCCTCTTCTCTGTAAAATATCAATATATTTTTTTAAAAATAATAATAATATCCAGAATATACACCGAACTCCTGCAAATCAATTAACAAAAAGGCAGCAACCTCTAGAGAAAAATGCATAAAAGATAAAAACATGGACTTTACCTAAGAGAAAACAAAAACCGTAACAAGCATCTGAAGAGATAATCAAACTCAATAATCATCACAGTAAGAGAAATTTAAACAGCACTGACATATTACTTTATGCTAAGAGACGGGAAAGCATTAAAGAATTGGATAAGCAGAATGTGCTGGAGAGACAGGGCAGAGGAAGCTCCTGCTCTGCTAGTGAAAACATAAGCTGGGTCAGCCATTCTGAAGAGATCTTGCAAAACTGTTGATATGCATCATCGAGAACTAGCTTTACCTAAGAATAATACTAAATGATATCACTGGACAGATATAAACCAATTTTCTCTCTAATGAGTTTTTTAAAATTCTAAAATGATGATTTACTGAAGTTAATTGAAGAAAATAAAGCTTTCTGAACTACTTCAGGTCACAATAGCAGTTTTAAGGTATTAGGACACTAGAAATATCTAAGTCAAGAAATATATTAAACAAGCACTTGGGAAAATTAAACCTATGAATTGTATGCCTTCACCTGCTACTGGACATACTAAAAATGCCAAAAAGAATGTTTCTTTATATAAATGTACAATTTAATGTTTACCTCTCCTCTCCACCAATTCAATTACGCTGACATTCAGATATAATTAATGAAGAGAAAATACCTCCATACTTCGTAAGTCTTTCCATGAAAACATAAATTAAATTTTGAAAGTCCAACCTCCAAGAGGATATTCAGAAATTTCACTTTGGGAACAATGTAAATTATGTAATTCAAGTGTTTGAAATTTTTATTTACAAAATGCAATGAAAGCACTTACTTTATTTCAATGGATTCTGTCATAGAAATACACTTGGTAGGAACATCAGATAAATCCTGATCCATTGGTTCATCTCCATTTGTCAAGCCAGATTCTAATTTGCTTTTTTCTTCTTCAGTGGCTTGAAGTTCTGGCACCAAGAAATCCTCTGGTCTAAATAAGAAGTCTCTAATTAGAAGTGGTAACTAACAAACTAATATTATGTTACTTTAACTGACTAGTAGATGGCATAATTTTTAGACTCTTCACATATCTCAAGATTTAAATATACAGTTGATCCAAAGCCAATGCAACTTCATAATATCAATTATCAGATGACTGCATATATTATGTTCTTCATGGCCATTAAGGAGTACTCTTTAAAACACACCCTGTGAGCCAGTGAGAGCCCCTAGATAGGTCATCAGAAGATCTTAGTGGTTAGTGTAAGTACTATTACAGCCTGACTCTGCATTTGTTTCCAGTTTCTGTGGTTTCCCTGGCCACCTCCCAATTCTCATAAACCTCATATCCTTTGATTTCTTTAAGACCCCAGTCCTCCCACCCTCCTCAAAGAAAGCAGGTAACTCTCCATTTGCACATTAACAAGAAGGCTGGAATACAAAATCATCAGCTCCCTCAAAAGCCATTGTCTTTATTTCAACCAACTGTTAATACATCTATCTTCCCATTTTTACCTCCAGGATGAGAGAGTTGAATGTTAAAATTAAAAAATAAACTTTTAAAACTGTTTTCTCTAACTACTGTAACTGTTGGAATCCCACCCTGCACCCAGCACCTAAACTGCTGCAGCTTCTTTCCCCAGAAGCCCAGTCGCCCATTGTCATCCACCAGAAGTGCATTTACTATGAGTCAGACTGTATGCTAAATGCCTTAAAAACAACCACCTTAATTCTTACCCCATTTTTCAGACAAGGGATTGAAGCTCAAAAGCATCATCCATATGCTAAACAGATTGGCCATTAATTAAGCGGGATGGTAAGCAAACTCACCAATGCTGTTTAGATTCTTTTTCTTCTCTACTATTTTAGACGTCCAAGTAGACAGTGGAATTTTCCTAATTAGACCCAAGAGTGAGTTTAAAACCTAAGTCCACAATAGGCTCAAGACAGTATTATGAAAGTACAAAGAGAATAACAAGAGAGGAACCGTGTTGAGGTACAAGGAAGAATCGGGGAAGGTTTCCAATAGTTTGTGGGGCCAGACCCCTGGGATGGGAAGGTGGAACAAAGCAGAAGAAACACGTGAGAAGGGGTAACATAAAAAAGCCGAGAAGGAAGCTGAGAAGGCTGGAGAACACGGTCGTAGCAGAAGGATGTAGAAACATCACAGAACAGGAGGGAGAAACGAGACTGTGAAAGACATTGTGCAGTGCTGAGGCACTGACATTTACCTGAAAGCAACAGGCACCCTAAGGGGTCTTTATACAGCATAGTGTTTTCAGATTTGAGATTAGAACATGTGATTTCAGTTCTTTTTCTAATTGTGGGTATAGATTTTATAGATTTTCTATGGTTCTACTCATGCTATCTCATGTTTTTCTGGTAAGTAAAACATGTGTGTAACACTATCAGAGACATAAGCCACTTCCCAAATTTAACATAATCCCACCCATCAAAAGTTCTTCCTATCCTAAGTCTCTTCCCAATGCATGTTCTTTATCTCTCTTTTTAAGTGGGCAATAGAAGTCTTCATCCAAAATAATAAAACTCTCAGCTCTCTGCCCTAGCCGGTTTGGCTCAGATACAGCATTAGCCTAAGGACTGAAGGGTCCTGGGCTCAATTCCAGTCAAGGGCACATGCCCGGGTTGTGGGCTCGATCCCAAGTAGGGAGCGTGCAGGGGGCAGTCTCTGATCATTGATGTTTCTAATTCTCTCTCCCTTCCCTTCCTCTCTGAAAGCAATAAAAATAAATTTAAAAAATAAAATGATACCCGAGTATAAAAAAACAAAAAAAACTACCAGCTATCCTTTAATTTCAATTCTCTAGATGTTTCTCCACCTTGCTACTTTTATATTTCGCACTGTAAGTCTACATTTTTCAAGCTGAAGTTCTCAGAAAGCAACAAGGTACACAAAGACCAGAAAGAACAAACTCAGTGAACTCCAATAACATACTTGATCCCTCTAATCTGTAAGAAAGAAAAGCTGTTTTGCTCACATACTTGATAATTTCTCCATATTCATCCCATTTAATTCTTTCTTCTGGGGCAGGGAACATGGGATAAGACTTCTTGGCCTGCTTGAAGAAACTTCCTTTCCGACTGCCTTCACCTTTCATCATCAGGTCGTGCTTAGTTTTATGAGCCGTAGGCTGGTCAATGTCTTCCTCAACATCACTTTCATCGCTGGAATCTATGTCAACCCTGGGAGAATTTTAGAATAAAGATCATAGAGTCCCCAAAAGATTTTGAATTAATGCTCATAAAATTATTATTGATTCTGAATATTAACTGGATGGTAACATAATCACCAATATTATTGGGTTGATATTTTGTGAAACATAGCATTAACTGTCAGTTAATAAATACAAATTAACATTAGCAATGAGAGAATTTGGATTTCAGAACCATTTGAAAGATGTAACGGAAGTAATGAGGTTAAAACAAAAGTTAAATATTTTCAATTAAACTTTTTTGTCTTAGAAATGTTTTTCTCAAATTACATACATAAACCTCTACGTGTGAAATAACTCACTCTTTTGACTGCTCAAGTTTTTTAGCAGCTTCTTTCTTTAGCTTCTCTCTCTCCAAGTATTCTTCAAGTTCTTTCCCTTCAAGCTTTACCCGTTTCCTCAACTAAAGAAAGATAGCAGACAAACGAAAATATCATTATTAGGAGATTAAGGTAAGTGAGGTGTGAGATATATTGCATCTCTAAATTGATTCATCATCTTTAAACTAAATTTTTCTCTGAAAATTATTCAAGTGTCCCCTGTGAGCCCTTACAGATCTTATTTAGATTAGTACAAAAATTGAGCTTTCCCATTTTTAGAATGGGCTTAATTTAAATCAAACTGGTTTCAAATCACCAATCAGGAAAAGAAAATATAGCTAAGTATTTTTATAATGTAGTGTAGGCAAGACCTCCATGATATAAAACCTAAAGCCATAAAGGAAACTATGAATAAATATCCTATATAATAAAAATCCAATGTGCTAAATGTCCAGTCGACTGGTCAGCCATTCAATCAATCAAAGTGTAATATGCTGGGAGAATCCAAGATGGCTGCTCGGGTAGGCACCTAGCCACAGCCACACGTAACTATTTCAATAAAATACAACTAAAATATAAAATGGACATTACCCAGAACTACAGGAAAGTCAACTGACTGGAAATTTTACAACGAGAAGCCAGGAGAAGGCCAGAAGGAAGCGCAGAGGAGCTGTAAAAGCCCAAGGTACGGAGACACACGGCGCGCAGAGAGGACTGAGCCGGAGAGGGGGGAGGCTGAGTGCCTGGCTGGCATTCCCTAGCGGGAAGGAGATAAAAGCTCCGACTGTGCTGGGCCCCAGTTCCGACTGCTCTGAACCCCAGTTCTAGGTCAGACCCTGGGGACCCAGGCTCACACAGAGGGAGCTGGGCTGAAAGGCGGAACCAGGAGGAGCGGCGAAAGGAGGTCCCGGAGGCACGCAAATTGTGCACAGAGAAGGGACGGCCGGCTGTGCCGCGGGATTGCCTGGCGGGAAGGAGACAGGGGCTCCAGACTGCTCTGAAGGCCACCTCCAACTCCACTTCCAACTGAACTGAACCCCAGTTTCGGGCTCATTGGGGGAGAGACTAGACTGTTTGGCAGCAGGCGAAAATCGAGGGCACCTTTCTCTCAGAGGCGCTTGCAGCTAGCACTGAAGGACCCTGAGTCTCAGGGGTCGCAGAGGGCGGGGCTGACGGAAGCCAAAGCTGTAGGCTCCACCCTGAAACCCCGCCCCATCAGGAAAGCTGCCTGCGAAAATGCCTAAACCAAATAGATCACATACGAAAGAAATGGAGGACAAAAAGTGACTGGATATAGAGTTCAAAACCACACAAGATTTTTCAAGAGTTTCCTAGAAAAGGTCGATAAAATAAATGAGACCTATCGGGTCTAGTAATAATTAATGCCGTTTTTAAACATTCGTTTAAAATCTTGCTTGGCGTTGACTTGTATTGACATAACCTTCAAACACGTGGTATCTACAGAACGTGTGAAGTGCAATTAACAAGTTTTGCTTGAAAAAGTTTGTGTTTGGTTTGGTTTTTGTTGCAAAACTAGGGCTAAGAAGATGGCAGATGAAGAGCATATTCGGCACTGCATGCTTTACGAGTTCCAATTAGGAAGAAAAGCAAGTGAGGCTGCAAAAAACATCTGTAGTGCTCTTGGTCAAGATGCAGTTAGCGCCAGAAAATGCCAGCGTTGGTTTGAGAAATTTCGCGAGGGAAATTTTTCATTAGATGACAATTGTGGTCGAGGCCGTGTGTCCAATTTTGATCAAGAAGCTCTTCAAGCTCTTTTGGTGCAAAATCCTCAAATTACCCAACAAGAGCTTGCGACAACTTTAAATTGTTCACAAAAAACAATTTCCAATCAATTGCGTGCACTTGGCAAAGTCCAAAAGTTTGGAAAATGGGTTCCTCATGAGTTGACCGACAACAACCGTAATCAAAAAGTCACAATTTGCAGTTCGCTCCTCTCTCGTCAAAACCGTTTGCCGTTTTTAGAGCAAATTGTTACCGGAGATGAAAAATGGGTGCTGTATGTTAATTTGAAAAGGCGGCCTCAATGGTTGGACAAAAATGAGGCTCCGCAGCCCACGCCAAAACCTGACTTGCATGCGAAAAAAGGGATGTTGTATGTTTGGTGGAATTTTAAAGGAATTCTTCATTATGAACTTTTACCATCTAACCAAACCATTACAAGTGCAGTATATAGTGCCCAATTGGAAAGGTTAGCCCAAGCTTTAAGAGAAAAAGAACCCGCGCTGATTAATCGGAAGGGCGTAATTCTTCACCACGATAACGCACGACCGCATACTGCAAGAATCACTGCTGAAAAACTGCACCAATTGGAATTGGAAGTTCTCCCTCAACCTGCATATTCTCCTGATATTGCCCCTTCCGATTACCATTTGTTTCGTTCTTTGCAAAACTTTCTTCTTGGAAAAAAATTTAATAATGAAGAATGCCTCAAAAATGCATTGACCAAATTTTTTGCATCAAAACCACAAGAATTTTACAACAGAGGGATTAAAATGCTTCCTGAGCGTTGGGCACAAGTAGTAGAAAACAACGGCAACTATATTGTTGATTAAATTTTGTTGTATTGTTTAAATAAATTCAATTTAAAAAAAGTATTAGAAAACGACATTAATTATTACTAGACCTAATATGAGGATATGAAAAGGGATCAACAAGAAATAAAGAATATATTGTCTGAAATAAAAAATATTATAGAGTCCTAAAAACAGAATAGAAGATTGCAAGAATCAAGTCAAAGATTTGGAACATAAAGAGCCAGAAGACACTCCTCTGCAGAAACTAGAAGGCAAGAGAATCCAGAAAATTGAAGATGATTTAAGAAACCTCTGGGACAACTTCAAACGATCCAACATCAGAATTATGGGGGTCCCAGAAGATGAGAGAGAGCAAGATATCGAAAACATACTGAAAGAAATAGTGACAGAAAACTTCCCCCACCTGGTGAAAGAATTGGACTTACAAGTCCAGGAAGCACACAGAACTCCAAATAAAAGGAATTCCAAAGAGGACCACACCAAGACAGATCATAATTAAGATTCCAAGAGCAAAAGACAAATAGAGAATATTAAAAGCAGCAAGAGCTAAGCAGGTAGTTACCTATAAAGGAGCATCTATACGATTGTCAACTGATTTTTCAACAGAAACCATGCAGGCCAGACGGGATGGCAAGAAATATTCAAGGTGATGAATAGTAAGAACCTACAGCCAAAGATAATCTATCCAGCAAAGCTATCACTCTTAATCGAAGGTCAGATAAAGAGCTTCACTAATAAAAAAAAGCTAAAGGAGTTCATCACCACCAAACCAGAATTATATGAATTGCTGAAAGGGGTTCTTTCAGAAGAGAAAGTAAATAAAGATAAAAATTATGAACAGCAAATATGTAACTATCAACAAGTGAATCTAAAAACCAAGGAAATTAAAAAAAAAATCTGAGAAACAATATTAACTGTTGAATATAATAGAATCAGAGGTATGGAAGGGGAGTGAACTGATGATTCTTGGGGAAAGGGAGAGAGGGGGATGTGGGAAGAGACTGAAGATAAACTGTGCACCTATGGATGAGGACAATGAGGGGTGAGAAAAGGGCAGAGGGTGGGGTGGGAAGTGGGGGGGAAGGAACATTTGTAATAATATGAACAATAAAAATTTATTTAAGGAAAAAAAAAAGCGTAATATGCCAATAATATGCTAAGGCTGCTCAACCGCTCATTATGATGTGCACTTGACCACTTGGAGGCAGTCAGTCAACTGGTTGACCAGTTGCTATGTCATGCACTGACCACCAGGGGGCAGACGCTCCAACTGCTGGAGTTTGGCCTTAGGGACTGAGTGTGACAGGCTAGACATGCCCTGGAGCCCTCCTGAGGTCCCTCCCAGGCTGGCCAACCTCCTGCGTCTCTCCCCAGCCCTGATCATGTACCTGTGGGGTCACTCAGCCTGGCCTGTGCCCTCTCGAACCCCTCATGGAATGTCAGAGATCCAGAACCCCTCATGGAATGTCAGAGATCCAGTTTTGGCACAATCCCGCAGACCAGACTGAGGTACCCCACTGGTGCACAAATTCGTGCACCTGGCCTGTAGTGGCAGTATAAAAAATAAAATCATTTTCTTTAAATTTCATAGTTAAAAGAAACTGAAAAATATATTTGCAGCACTATAGGACTAGCAGAAGCTACTGTTTTCCTAAGATGATCAACACATCAGAAAAAAGCAAATATATAGGCAATTTCTAAAATAAGAAAAACAAATAACAGCCAAGAAGACTTGTAGGATATATCTGGAGGTCAAGCCAATAGGAAGGACTTGTTACTAGATTGATTATGGGTGTTAAAAGAAAAGTAAGGAAGTTAAAATAAGTTTTAATAATCTGTGCATTACAAGTCAGGATGGTGTTTAGCCTGGGAATCAAGAGGTAGGGAAGACCAGAAAGGGGGCATCTGAGGTACTGGAATATTCTATTTCTTGGTCTAGATACAGGCTAGCCAAGTGTGTCCAATTTGTGAAAATTCATCACACTGTATGCATACAATATGCACATTGTTTAATATATATTATACTTAAATGAGCATTTTTTTTTTTTTAATTTCTGGGTTTTTGGCTTGTGTAAACACATGGGAAATGCTGTTATTCCCTGAGATGAGGAAAATGCAAAGAAAAGGAAGTTTGGGGAAAGAGAAGACATAGTCAACATTGTTTTGGAAGTGATCAAGTAGAGGAAAAAGTAATAGATAATGGACAGAAAAGGGTAACTACACAAGAAATATCCCTAAAGAGGTAAGAGGGAATGAATCTTGAACATAAGTACTTCTTAAAAAAATTAAAAGCCTAACATTTCAAGTTTCAAGCTTTGAATGTCATTTTCTATTTTTTCAAACTTAAACCACATTTAATATTCTTTAAAGAATTCCTCAAATGGCATATCTGCCTTAATTGAATTTCTAGTTATTAATGTTTTCTAATACAGCATTTCATATCTGATGAAACTGTTTCAAATATTTCTGAGCTCTTTAAACTTTGTATTTCTAAGCTATTAAAATAACCCAAAAGACAGTATTTTACATTGATGTGCTTGCTTTGAATCCTTCCTCAATAATTCTGTATTTACAGTGAATGTGTACCAGATTTTAGTTACTATTACTATTGTTTTCTTAAGTAGAGTTAGTGAGATGCTCCTCCTACTCAGCTTTAACAAACTAGACATCCCTTAAAATGGCTGTATGAAGACAAAATGAAAGGCAGTCTTCTAAAACTCTGCCCAGCACTGGCAGGCATTAACCCATCATTCAATATCAATTGTTATAAACTTCAGGTTCATGATACTAGTTTTGGAAAACTGATATATTATGATTATATAATATAATGGTCATTTGATTGTCTTGCTCCTGTGACAGGAAATAAGGCAGCAGCAATGCAGATGAAGAAACAGGTGAGGCTACTTAGTGGTGAGAAGATAAGGAAATTCCTATCTGCCTCCCACTTCTCAATCAACAACTCCCACACCATCACGTGCTGTGGGTGAGGACTGAGATGGAGCTGTAGGTGTTTTGAGAAGAAAGAAGAAATGAAGTTGTCTTATGGGACAGTGCAGAAAAGAACCTGCCACAAAAGGCTGAGGGCTAGCGTTGGGTGCCCTTCTGAGATGTGAGGTCAAAAATGTGCAGAAAAACCTATCCCCACAGCAGCAAGTTTAAGACCTTCGGTTCAGCCACACACTAAGCAAATGGTTTAACCAGTCAAGGCTTTGCCAGGTGAGTACAATAGCAGAAAGAAGGATAAGAGAGTTAAAGCTGTTCACAAAATAACGATGGACCACTGACTCAAAGCTGGAGGGAGGACGGATAGCAAAAGTGGTGAGGTTCATGAACTTCAAGTCCCAATGGGACCAAAGAATTGTTGGCATGGCAGAAACCGAGTCATCGGTAAGGCCAGGGCGGGATGCTTGAGGTAGCAGAGATATGGAAATTGTTCAATCATAACAAGGGTAAGGGCATGACCATGGGAATACACACCAGGAAGGTAGGAAAGATACGGAGGTGGAATGGAGGAGGAGATCACCAAGAAACAAGAGAGCCAAGGACCTGGAAAGAGAAGAATGCTAACATCATCAAGAATGAAGTGCTGAGTTCGAGTGGACAGGAAGGCATGCACCAGGCTCCAACGTCACAGATGAATGACAGAATGACCAAGAGACCATTAACTGTCAGGAACAAGGAGGGGTGAGTATACTGTCAAGTCTGACATAAGAACTGCAGACGGAAGAGAAATGGCTTCAAAGCTGCAATACATACAACACCACCCACCCCACCCAAAGTATATGGAAGATGAAGGAAGGAGAAAGAAGGAAAAAGAGCATCTACTTGGGAGGGCTGCAGGAAAAAGTATCATTAGGAAAGCGCCGGATTCCAACTAAGGAAAGGACGCAGAGCAACTTTTCAAAGGGGAAGTGAGAACACAGTGTACATTCACAGTGAACCGTCTGCGGTGGTTCCAGAAGGTACCACGGAAGGGTTCAAGGATGAGTATTTCCAATTAAGTAGCTCTGAAATTTGGGCTGTTAAAGGGCCTCTACTGTTTTTGTGATAAAAATCTTAAAAGTTTTGAGTTTTATAATGTATTCAAAACGGTATTAAGATAAAGTTCATATGCAAGCACTTACCTCTATTTCTGTAACTTTTTCAGCAGGGTTATCAATTAAGAAGCGTGCTAAAGTCCCAGGAGTAGTTCTGTAAGTTAGAATGATGGAGTTTTTAGGGTCCTCACACCACTGAATAAAGAGATCCCTTGAAAATCCACATTCCAGGTCGGGCTGGCTGGCAAGTACCACTTTAGGACTGGGTACTCGAGCCAAGTCAGAAAGACCATGGCATAGAGAGAGATGGCGGAACTGAAACGGGTTATTTCTTTTGTCTTCAAAACATCTCATCAATTTGTCACTCATCCATTCTACCTAATATAGGGGAAGATGACAATGAGAAGAAAACGCTGTATTATAACTTCAATGTATTCTACCACCGTCAGGAAATTCGAGATCTAGCTCAAGTGTGCCCCCACCCTCCCTCTCACCCCACTGGTTGCTTAAATTTGTACCTTTCTGACAAGCAGCCTCTTTTCTGCTTCTGCCCCCATTAGATCCCACCACCATAGTGTTCATCCCCAAAAATCCAACTGTGCCTTATGTTTTCACTTATAAATCACTTTAAGCCTATGGAGTCGGCTGGGTATAAGTTCTAAATGAGTATCTTAACCCAGAGATTGCTATTTCAAGGACAAGAATGTATTCAAAAGGAAGTGAAAAGTGAATTCTAACATTCATAGCCTATAACATTGGTTTAATTTCTGTCCCCATTTGCCATACTAAGTGCTAGAGGAGAAGCAACTTGCCCAATCTGTAAAAAAATTAAGTGAAATAATACATGTAAAGCAGAAAGCACAGTAAGTGGTTAATTTTTAGCTTTTATTATTGTCATCATCAAGTCCCCTTCAACAGAAAAATAAAATCTAAAGGGCAATTAGAACAGTGTTGTCCATAAGCCCAATCTGTGTAGCAAACTATATTACAAAGGATCATGTAAAGACAAACCTGGGACTTAGAAAACTCCACCACATTGTAGCTGACGTTGTTCAGGAGGGCCAGGGAGTAGACACCCAGGCCTGCATCTTTAGTTCGCCAGATCTGGTCGAGGAGCTGCGCAAGTTCCAGAACTCTGCCTGCAGTGTCCACCGCTATCAGCACGTTGCCATCCCCACGAAGTGTCTCCAGGACATTTGCTAGAAAACAAGAGTGTAATGTCCCTATAGAACACAACAATACTTTGCTACAGAATTAAAGATAACTTTATCTGCATGTTTTTACTATAAAAACTATGACTTATAAATAAGCCGTTACCAGGCCAGATACAAAATAAAATAATTTTGCTCAGACTATTACAATGTATTTTATTCTCTGAATACATCTTTCTAAGAATAAAAAACAATGCCATTAGCTCTCAATTTTTTTTCACAGAGACATTGGAAATCACTGGCTTCCAACCCTTAATGTGGACTTTACATAATACATACATGTTTTATATATGTGTATGTATGCCTGTAGAATAAAATAGATCATATTCTCTCTGCCAACAAATGCATCTTTATAGATTTCAATAGATTCCCCTGCTCTAGATAAAAGTCTGCTTGAGCCAAAACCGGTTCCGGGTTCGATTCCGGTCAAGGGCATGTTTCTTGGTTTCGGGCGTGTCCCCAGTGGGGGGTGTGCAGGAGGCAGCTGATCGATGGCTCTCTCTCATAGATGTTTCTGGTTCTCTATCTCTCACCCTTCCTCTCTGTAAAAAATCAATAAAATAATTTTAGAAAAATAAAGTCTGCTTGAAAATATTTAGTAAAACCAACGCTAGCAAAAACAAGAAAACATTCTTAGTGTAACATAGTATATGAGATATGCTTTTTAAATAAATAGATAAAGACAGTGGTTTCAAAAATGTTTAAAAGTAGAATCCAAGCCCGGATGGTGTGGCTCAGTGGTTGAGCATTGAGCTATGAACCAGGAGGTCATAGTTTGATTCCCAGACAGGGCACATGTCTCAATCCCCTGTAGAGGGGTGTGCAGAAGGCAGTGGATCAATGATTATCTCTCTTTTTTTTTTAAATTTTATTTTGTACCTGGCATAGTAATGGCTTATTTATAAATCATAGTTTTTATAGTGAAAACAGGAATAAAGTTATCTTTAATTCTTTAGCGAAGTACCGTTGTGTTCTTATTGATTTATATAAGATCTTTATATTTTGATATTCCCTAGACATATACCACTGAGTGCCAGGGAGAGCTAACTATTTGGTGAATGGCAGGGAGAAGCCATTTAATTCCACAAAAATTAAATTCAAACCAATGAAAGCATCTTTTTGTACAAAATATTGATATGGTCACATACTTTTTTAAAAATAACTAGTTAGACAATCTCTTATAACAAGAAAAGTGATAACCAGAACAGAACAAGCAGCAATTCACTCTACTAAGCACTTCCATGGCTCTTTATAAAGGACCTTATGTAATACATACTCAGCAGTTGCTCATCTCTCTGTTTTCTCCTCGGCTGCACATATGTAGCATTAAATGAATCTGTGATAAGTAGGGAGGGTCTGCTTAGCATTTCCAGGGAACATCCATTTAAGTGGCTATAACAAATTTGAAAGAAGAGAAATATTTTATATCATTTCAAATAAACAACAGCTTATCTCACCTGAAAATAAGCTACATCTTTTACAAAGCCTTTTTCCTCCTCAAACTATAAAAGTATACATATATGCTCACTGATAATTAAAAAAAAAAAAAAGGAAAACCAAGATCTTCCAGAGTACCACCACTCAGACATCTATAATATTAAAAGCATAATATGCTAATTAGACTGGACGTCCTTCCAGGTGACCTTTGGGACGAAGCTGGGGCTGCAAGGGAAGCCTGGGTCCTGGTGCCTGCCAGCAGGCCGCCGGAGTACAGCCCAGGTCCCGGGTGCCAGAGGGAAGTCAGTGCCGGCAGCCGGGGGAAGGAAGGCCTACTCTGGCACAATTTTAGTGCATCGGGCCTCTTGTAAGTGATATAATATGCTATGAATACAAAATGAAGTATTTAAAATGAAACTGCCCTGTCTCCTTTTAAAGGGAATCTGACTTTAAATATAACGTATTAGATGGTAATTACTAACTGTACAAAAAAAAAAAAAAAAAAAAAAGACAAAATTCCTTTAAATAGCAGGTCAAATGCATATAAAGTAGTTTGATGTATAAAAATTTATCTCCTATGCAGCATCTCCAGGGCGAAATCTGTTTTATAGAGTGGAAACTAACATGTAAATTTCAAAAATATTTTTTATCTCTTAGTATCATAGTTTTCTCTTACAATGCAAGTTATTAAGTAATTTTGAAAATATTCACTAATTGGTGCATTTAAATAGCTTTAGATTTCCAGTTAAAAAAAAGAACTGTTTTCTAATTTTCCCTCCAAAGTATAAAATAATACCAATTGTATTTCTATTAGCTTTTCTCTTGATTGACCTACATCTCCCTCTTGTGGTTGAAGTCAACTGCATAAACAATTTCTTCTTCTCCATCTTTGACTATTTTCCATATGGTCCCACCGATCATATGACCAGCCGGCAGAGGTGTGATAGACAAGCCATGTCCTTTACCTAGATCAACGAGACAATGACAACACTCAGATTTCTCTTACATCCCTACAGAAAGGTTATTTATTTGTAGCTATTTTTTAACAGGTAATACAGACAACGATACAAAATTCAAAAATAAAAAGGCATATAGTGAAATGCAAGTCTCATTCTCCTGTCCCCTGGCTACTCCATTCCCTCATGGAAGCAAATGCTCTTGCCACTTTGTTCTTTATTAAGTACTAGAGACCTGGTGCACGAAATTCATGGGGGAGGAGGGCTCCTCAGCCAAGCCTGCACCCTCTCACAGTCCAGGAGCCCTGGGGGGATGTCTGACTGACAGTTTAGGCCCACTAAGCCATCAGTCAGACATCCTTAGCATTGCCATGGAGGCAGGAGAGGCGCCCACCACTGCCACTGTGCTCGCCAGCCATAGCCCGGCTTCTGGCTGAGAGGTGCTCCCCCTGCGGGAGTGCTCCTGTGTTGAGTATCTGCTCCTTGGTGGTCAGTGCGTATCATAGTAACTGGTCATTCCACCATTTGGTTATTTGCATATTAGCCTTTTATTATATAGGATTCTTACAGACATATTTGTGCTTATGAACAAAAGGCTAGAGATTGGACTTAAAGTTACTATTACCAGTAAATTACTTAGTACGAACTAATAAATGTTATTACTAATATTGTACACCCAATTATTAAGCATTTACATTTTTGCTAACCTCTAAACTAACCATTCCAACCGCATTGAAGAATTTATCCTAGGGAAAAATTCAGTACATGCACAAATATTGAGACCACTTTTACTTCCTGGCTAAATCTTCATAATCCTCTGTTGCACCATTTTTGCAATGCCAGGGTTCATATCTGAAAATCTTTAATACAATTATCTCCGTAGATAGTAAATATAAACTTACTAAGTAACTTCCTGACTTAATGAGAGAATAAACTTTTTAATGCTTGATTCTAGAATTCAGTCATTTTTGTCCTTTATGCTGCCACATTCCATTGCCTTTAGCCCATTGAGCCAGTTGTCTGAGCTGCTTATTCTCCTCGACCTGTGAGCTCCCAGGAGGAGGATCTGCCTACGTTACCTCTGTGCATTACACACAGTAGACACTAAATAAGGCTTTCCCAAGTTAAAGGTGAAAAGGCCTTTGTTGTTGCTCTAGCCAGTGTTGCTCAGTGGTTAGAATGTCCACCCCCACACCACAGGGTCACAGGTTCGATTTCTGGTCAATGGCACTTATCTGGGTTGCAGGGTTGATCCCTGCCCCAGTTGGAGCTCACACGGCAGGCAACAAATCGATGTGTGTCTCCCACATCGATGTTTCTCTCTCTCTTTCTCCCCCTCCCTCTCTCCTACTATTTCTAAAAAAATAGCTCAATCCTCGGGTGAGGATTAAGAACAAAAAGGCCAGAGTTGTTCACATTTTGTTCGTATTTCACTGGAATATTTTCCAGTCCAAATGACTCAGGGGAGGTTCAGAGTTCTTATTAAAAAATGCTAATTTTGTATTCCTCAGACCACAGTGCCTACAACTTCTACTACAAATTCCCCTTGCATTTTTCAGGAAGTTAAATCCTATTAATCCAATTATTTTATTGATGGAAATATTTTTTACCTTTCAAATTCACAATCTGAGAGAATTTCAACTGCTGTATTTTATCAAAGGCTGCATCCACGTCATCTAATGTAAATAGAGTGAAATCTTCTGTATTATGTCGAGACTAAAAGAATAATACAAAGAAAAGGTTAAAAATGATCACTGCAGAACCGTTAAAATTTTTTTTAATTGCTTATATTACCTGGTAAAGATCATACATGAACATCTGTCCCATTTTATAAACAGGAATGGTCGCGTAGATAGCGCAGTTCAGACCCAACTTCCCGACAGCGTACGGGAGGGCTCCGAGGTGGAGAGGATCGGGGTGAGACAACAGCACCGCATCAATCTGGTGGACGTGCCTGGGAGAACACCAGCAAAATTACCATTTCCCTAGTCATGTTTTAAGGATGAGGACAGGACACTCAAAACTAATTCACCAATTCTGATTCCTCGCAGTATTCTGAATTGAAGAGTATGCTGGAATAAAAGAGCTAAAAGTTTGATGCCTACAAATTTTAATTCTGACCACCATTGTCCTGTATAGATAGCAAAATCGTGCTATAAGTCACACTAAGTATATAGTATAGATACATATAAAAGAGGAAAGAAAAAGAAACAGATACCACATGTAAGCTGATTTCAAATGTCTATCTTATATATTATTAATTTAAGTTCAAGAACTCAGCTTAGAATTTCAGAAATAAAAAAGGAAATCCTTAAACAGCCACATATTTATTATGGATTTTTGGCCCAGCTATTTATCACGGCAATTGAGAGCATATTCATTATAGTAAAACTTTACTTAATCAAGGAAGCATAGGTCTTCATTGACAAAGAAAAAAATGTTTTGCTACAAGTTCTAAGTTTTGTAAATGTTTAAGTCTTCTTTCCTTCCCTAATTAGTACAATACTGCAAACATTACTGAGTTTTTCTCCAATGGATTACTATTGTTCTGTATCTCACAGTAACTATTCTGAGCAACAGTTCTCAATGTCTGGCACCAAAAGATCAAAAAGTAAGCTCATGCGATGATCAAAAAGTAAGCTATGCAATTTGACTGCAGAACTTTCACATGGAAGGTTTCTTTCTCTCCTCAAATTCTTATAAATTTTCTCTTTTCTAAAATTTGGGTGCAAAAATTTTACTGAGATCCATTAGCCAAGTAACAATTAACTTAAGAGTATGCTGAATTCCAAATAAGATAGCCTATAAGTCGATTCAACTTTATAAGTGAAAACTAGAGGCCCAGTACACGAAATTCAATTAGATGACCGGACACTTAGCATATTAAACTTTTATTATATAGGGTAGTCATTCTTTGGCTCTTTGGCATAAGTAAGAGTAAGTCTTTTACTATAAACTAAATTAGAGCAAAAAAGCAAACACTATTTAACATGAAAATAATATTATAATGTAGAAAAGTTGATGTACTAGAAGTCTAGAAATATTAAAAGTAACTTACTTCCTCAGGGAATCGATAATATCCATAGAAAAGTGCTCATCCCAGCCACAATCCAATAAAAATCTAAATTCATCCACTTGGAGAAGATAACAAAGAGCAGATTCTTCTTGAACCCCAGAGAGGGTAGTTAATTTGATAATAGATGTCATTTTTTTGGTCCAATAACAACCGTCTAAATGGTTCTTTCAAAAGGAAAAAAATATATAATTACGCATAATATACACATTAGACAAATTAAAATTATATATAATTTCTAAGTGGGCAGAAATTCCATAAACATGAAAAGCAAACATTTTAAAGACCCCTTTCTATCACTGCTAAGTTTAAAAGCACAAACATCTTACACACTATTGTTTACAATGAGTATTGCAATGGCTCCCCAGTGCGACTTAATTAAAAGTAGAGGGCTTGAGAATCAGACTCGAATTTGAATCTGCTCCTACGTGGTTCAGGTTAATTAACCTTTCCTCACCCACATAACGCAGTCTATAAAACATAAATATTAATATATACATAAAAATAGTAGAATTTATGTTAGGACACCTACTATACATATTTCAAGAAAATATAACATGAACACATCTATTGAGATTTAGGACCTAAAACTACAATTGTGGACTATTAAACAAATGTTATAAAAATATTCACTAGCAAAACAGAGCTCCACAGAAACATTCCAGATTTTAGCTCCTTAAAATAAATTAGCCTTAGCTTTGACCAGGAAGCTCAGTTGGTCAGATTGTCTTCCAGATACTCTAAGGTTGTGAGTTTTAGCTCCAGTCAGGGCTCATACAAGAAAGCACCAATGAATGCATAAATAAGTGAAACAACAAATTTTTCTCTCTCTCTCTCTCTCTCTCTCTCTCCCTCCCTCCCTCCCTGAAAAACAAAAATCAATTAAAAAATAAAATAGCCCAAACCAGTTTGGCTCAGTGGACAGAGCATCGGCCTGCGGATTGAAAGGTTCCAGGTTTGATTCCAGTCAAGGGCATGTACCTTGGTTGCGGACACATCCCCAGTAAGGGGTGTGCAGGAGGCAGTTGATAGATGTTTTTCTCTCATCGATGTTTCTACCTCTCTATCCCTCTCCCTTCCTCTCTGTAAAAAATCAATAAAATAATTTTTAAAAAATTAAATAAATAAATAAATAAATAAATAAGCCTTGCCCAGCTGGCGTGTCTCAGTGGCTGAGTGTCCACCTATGAACTGGGTCACCATTAGATTCCCGGTCAGGGTACATGCCTGGGTTGCGGGCTTAATCTCCAGTGTGGGGTGTGCAGGAAGCAACCATTCAATGAGTCTTTCTCATCATTGATGTTTCTCTCTCTCTCTCCCTCTCTAAAATCAATAAAAATATATTAAAAAACAAAAATCACCAAGAGTAAAGGTGTATTATTTGAGACCAAGGCTAAGGTCATCCATACCTTCATATTCCCAATTACTATGTATAGATGTGAATATTGAATAGTGAAGAAGCTAATAGGAAAAAACTGATTCATCTGAAGAAGTAGGCTCTAGAACAAATTAAGGCTGAAACATCACTGGAGACCAAACAAAAAAGACAAAAGTAAGGCTGTCCTACTTCACATTCATCATGAGAAGGTAGGGCTCTTTGAAAATGGCAATATACTGGGGAAAATAGAAAGCAGTAGGAAAAGAGGAAAACCAAATGAGATGCACTGACACCATAGAAAAAGCCATAGGTGCGAGTCTACAGGAGCTGAGCAGAACATTGCGGAATCACTCATTTATAATCACCAGGAGCTGGAGCCAATGCACAGGTAACACACGCACTACGATTTATCAACAGCCTAAGAGAAACTCCTTTCATCTAAATCTACCTTTCCTCCCACTTTACTTACACCAGGAAGTGAAAACACAAAGTGCCTCACAGATAGAATTGAATGAGTTCATGTTACAACGTTTTGCACACAGACCCTGATTTCACCACATGAAAAGTATTTTTATTACAACTTCTAAGACTATAATAAAGCTCTATCTTTTTTATATATATATATATTTTATTGATTTTGTACAGAGAGGAAGGGAGAGAGATAGAGTTAGAAACATCTATGAGAGTCGTCATCAGATGCCTCTTGCACACCCCCTACTGGGGATGTGCCCGCAACCAAGGTACATGCCCTTGATCGGAATCAAACCCGGGACCCTTCAGTCCCCAAGCCAACGCTCTATCCATTGAGCCAAACCAGTCTCGGCATAAAGCTCTATCTTTTTTTAAATATATTTTATTGATTTTATACAGAGAGGAAGGGAGAGAGATAGAGAGTTAGAAACATCGATGAGAGAGAATCATCGATCAGCTGCCTCTTGCACACCCCCTACTGGGGATATGCCCGCAACTAAGGTACATGCCCTTGACAGGAATCGAACCTGGGACCCTTCAGTCCCCAAGCTGACACTCTATACATTGAGCCAAACCGGTTCCCGGCAAAGCTCTATTTTTATTAGACATTCATTTACTTACTGATATCTCAGTCGTATATACGATGAAACACCATGAATTCAAAGTAAGAGCTCTTTACAAATCTAAAAGATAAAGAAATAAAAAACTAAATGAATGTGACATAATGACTTACTTCAGTTTTAATTATGATGTTTAATTTCTATGTCTTGCCCTACGATAAACATTGTGAGCAGCAACAAACAGTATGATATATGGTCTCTTTTAAAAAAGGAAATTTATCACGTCTGGCCGGTGTGGCTCAATTAGTTGGAGCATTGTCGAGTGCACCAGAAGGTTGCAGGTTCTATCCCAGTAGGGACATGGGATAGGAGGCAACCAATCAATGTGCCTCTCTCACATAAATGTTTCTCTCTTTCTCTCTCTCCCTCCCTCCATCCCTCTGAAAAATCAATTTTAAAAATTTAAAAAAAAGAAACCTATCATAATTTTAGGTAGCTTAAGCTGACATAAAACACACAGAGGTAAGATAATAAAAGACATAATAAAAAACAAAGGTAATAATATACCAAATTGGTTATAATTAGGGGTTGAAATAAGATTTTTTAAATTGACATTAGCTTATGTTATTGAAAATCATAAAAAAGGTATAATCTTAAGGTATAATCTCAAATTATTCATTAAGGATTGGTAGGACCTGGGTAGAAAGAGACAAAGAGAAAATGTATACAAAACAATAACAAGATCAAAGGCACAAAACAAAAAAATTACAGGCTATCAGTGAAGAAACTAGCCTGGCATCTGAATAGCGAAGGGCCAATAGTGAAAGGCTTGGGAACTTTGGATCTAGTTATATAAGCAACAGAGAAACATTTTAAGATCCATCATCAAGTAGGAAAAGGACATACCCCAGGTAACTTTATTTTAGGGCAACTGGCAGATGCATATGATTGATAAGAAGGTACAGAAAATTGAGATAAAAAGAGGAAGTATTTAGCAGGCTACTTCATTCTTACAACTTTATGGGTTCTTTTTTGAGGCTAAATTTCTTTAGCCCTCTATATATATATATATATATATATATATATATATATATATATATGCCTAACCAACTTTGCTCAATGCAGAAGCTGCCCCCTGGTGGTCAGTGTGCTCTCATAGCCAACCTCCTGCAGTCTCACACCCACCCCCGGCTGCAGATCAGCCCTAATCTCTGGCCAGGCAGAGGGAATCCCGCCTGTGCACGAATTTGTGCACTGGGCCTCTGGTGCTTTCATAAGTATAAGACATGAATTCATTAATTATTATTAAGGTAATCAATGCTTATAACTTTACATGTTTGATACCTTTTTTTACTTTTTACTGAACAGTCTGTTACCAACTCCTGGTTTTCCCTGAGAATGCCTTGCACATACGTCATTCTTTCTATTTCTATTGTCAGTACCTTAACACAGCATTTCTGTTTCCTTGCTCCAGTCTTTCTGCTCTTATCTCAACTTAAACATTCCAGCCAGATTCATCTTCAGAAATACCCCTGCACACATTATCCCCTGCTCAGAAATCTAGGAAGGCTTCCTATTGCTTGAAGAAAAAGCAGCAGAAAACTGAATGCCTTCACGGGCAATGGAGGGCGCCAGCGAGCTGCCTTGACAGCACTGCTCACCATCTCAAGACCCAGCTCAAATTCCACTTCCACACTAATTCCTTTGTCATTAGTCTAGACTACCACAGGTGAGCCCAACAAAACTATAATGCAAGCCACAAATGTAGTTTCAAGTTTTTTCAGCCACTCTGAAGTTTTACAGTTGAAATTAATTTTAATACACTTTAACCCAATATATGTAACATTTCAACATGTAATAATTACTAAATTACTGAAATAGTTTACCTGTTTTTGTATTAAGTCTTTGAAATCCAGTGTGTATTTCATATTTACAACACATCTCAATTTGATCCACTTACAAGCTCCTGGTTACTGTCATAGCACAGGTCTAGACTCACAAATAAGTGCTTCTGAACGCAGAGCACCGTGTTCTGCCACCCCTAAAGGGCAGGTGGCACCGCTCTATTGTTATGTGCATGTCTTAGGCTTGATTTGAATGGTATCACCAAACATTCAGCCTCCCAGACTAAAATCTCTGGAGTCCCCTCTTACCACCAAATTGGCTGCCATCAGTTTAATCCTATTAGACATTTCCGAAATGTCATCCTTTAACTCTCCTACCCCAACTGAGGCACTCCTTACCTCACCTGAATGATTGCAATTTCCTCTCATCTAATTTTCCTGTTCCAAGTTGATCCTCCATACACAGCTACCATCTTTTAAAAAAAACACACAAATATACTCATGGCCCTTCCTTGTGCGAAGCATTCCGGGGCTTCTAACTATTGAATAAAATCTAAAATCTTTACATTCCAGACCTCCATGCAAGAATGACCTTCTCGTGCATCTAGTAAATTCCTTTTAACCCTTCATGACCCAGCTCAAGTGTTTACTCCTTAATAAAGCTTTTTTTTTGGTGTCCTCAGGCAGTTCTTTATTTTCACCTAGCACAAACTGGAGACAAAAAACAAACAAAACAAAACAAAACAAAAATACTTGTTGAATGGATACTGAATGCACCAAGGGTAAAGGGTCACTTTTGTATCGCCACTACCAAGCGCAGCACTCAAAGCAACATAAACGTGCAAAGGCTAGGAATGAACGCTAACCATATCATAAGCGCCTTTGGACAGTGTTTCCTTGCAATTAGTTATCATAGTGTCTCTCTCTCTCTCCGCCCCCCTCCTCTCTCTCTCTCTCTCTCTCTCTCTCTCTCTCTCTCAATAACGACCCTGCATATCGATGACAGCTAAGGGGAATTCTGCAAAATGCAAGAGGAAGGGAAAGGGTCCTGGTTGGCCCCTGAGCCGAATGCGGAGTCTCTTCCGGGCCATTTCCAGAGGAGCAGTGATTTCCTAACAGGATCAGCGGGGGTAGTAAATTAAAAATAAAATAAAAGCGGGAGCTCAGACTTGCCAGGGGGGTGGCTAGTCTGACCCGTTTACTTCGGAGCCTGTAAAATAGACGGAAGGTGGCTGGGGAGCGGGAGCCACCGAGGGTCGGAACAAGTGTTAACCAAAAAGGATGCCTACTTTATTCCCAGTGCTTGGTAGCCACCTGGTCTCTCAACCCGAGACGACGGGGAAACCCTGAGGGGGAGGCTCAGGAGCCAGAGCTGGCGTCGGATCAACTCCTCCAGCACCGCGAGCTGCGAGGCGCAGGAAAGCAGACAGAGAGGGAGGGAGGGAGGGGGAGCGAAGGAGGGACTCGAACGGACGGCCACCAAAGCCCGGGAGCTTCAGACCCCCCGGAGACGCCACTTTCTCTTCCCCTGGCTGAGCACGACGGCCAAAACCGAGCCGGACCGCCGCATCCATCCGAAACCCCGGGGCCCGTCCCGGCGGAGGCGGGGTGCGAGGAGACTCTCCGCAGCCCAGGACCCCCTCCCCCATCCAGAGGCTCACTCCTCTCCCCGCCCGCACTTGCCTCGTCCGTCCTCCCCCCAGCGCCGTCCACTGCCCTTCCCCAACCCCCGGCTGAATCCAGGTTCGAGAGCGAGGAGAGCTGGCGCCCGCTCAGCAGCAGCCGTTAACGGCCTGGCCGCGGCAGCTCCGTCATGGGGGCCGCCATCTTGGAATTGGAGTCGGACCGCCTAGGCGCGGGGAGACCCAGGGCGATACCATCTTCCGGGGGGGGTGGGGATGAAATGCAGGAAAGAGACAGCCCTTACACATCGTCTCGTCCCCGGAGACCTAAACGTTTTACTTTTAAATTAATTTTTAATATGTTAGATCTAATAAAAGTAGGATAAAAGCTGATTATGGAAAGGAAAAAGAGGTAGGATATCGCGGTGCCCCCCCACCTTGGAGCCGGCGCTGCGAATGGCGTGTTCCGAGGCCGCGGCTTCCGCCGGCGCCGGAGGTTGGACGCGCATCTGCCCTTGGTCTTGGGGTCGGGCTGGCGCCGAGGCCGCAGGTGGGTCCGGGGTCGGCGACGCCGGCTTCTGCTGTGTCCGCAGCCGGGGGGCGCCCCTAGGGAAGCCCCGGACGATGGAGGGGGGCGGGGGCTGTAGCCTGGGTCTCCCCGAGGCTGGGGCGGCCTGGCCTCCCCCGGCTTCAGACCGGAGGAGACGAGAGAAGGAAAGGGAGGTGGGGGTGGCCTCCGGTGCACGGCTGGGCCCGTTCCTGCCCTCTCGGGGCTGTTAGGAAGGGTCCCCCGAGGCTGTCCTAACGGGGACGCCTGGTGTTGGTCACGTGGGTCTCTCTCTCTCTCTCTCTCTCTCTCTCTCTCTCTCTCTCTCTCTCTCTCTCCCCCCCCCCCCCCCCCGCATTTTACAAAAATGTAATGTTTGCTTTGTGCTTAGTTTCTTGGATGCATAAGCCGTTCAGACAGGTGACTCCAATAAGTTCAGTTTCCCCACGCATCCAGCGCTCTTTTCCGTCGGCTAAGTCGACACTTTTTGATCAATACATATGAAATGCTGTGGGGAACAGTTAAAAAGTAGAAGTGTGTGTGTGTGTGTAAACATATATCCATCTTTATTTTTCCAACGTGAATTCGGAGTGCAAAAATTCACACCAGATAGTTTTCTTTTTAGAAGTTAAGGGGGAAAATCGGGTTGAAGAAAAAATATGTACTAGGGAAAATAAGATGAAGTGGAGAATTGTGTAAATATTTACCTCTGTGCTTACTGTAAGAGACAATAAGCACAAATAAAGAGCTTGGCTCGAGGAGGCAGACTGCCCATTAATCCCAGCTCTGCCACTTGCTGCATCTGTGACCTTTGACAAATCCATTAACCCTGGATTTGCTCATAAGAAAAAAAAAAGGTCGACTGCATTGGGGACCCTTAGTAATGAAAACTTGTCTAGTACTGAGAGGATTCATTGAGTTGCAATTAAGAAAAGCATTAAGAATAGTACCTTACAGAGTCTGCAAAGTCAGTTCCTAGAAGTGGGCAAAGCTGCTTGATCTGTTATGATTCCTTGAGTCCATAAGATAAAAACCAACTCGTTTTGTTTCTTGTTGTTTTTCCCAGGGATACCCATGCTACTCCCAGTTCTGAAATAAGAGCAAAATTTTTCTTAAGAGTTTTCATATAAAGAAGACACTAATACAGGGTGTGCAAAAGTAGGTTTACAGTTTGTAACGCAATATATTTCACTATGTATTACTGAAAATAATGCAGTAATTTAAAAAATAACGCAAGAACAAACTTTGTTTCGCATTCACACTGTAAACTTGCTTTTTCCCACCCCAGTATGTACAGTGCCTTCATGGGCACCCATGCCATGTCCCTCTTTATCCAAACCCATTCTTGTCTCATTGGAGCCTGTCCCAGGCCCACCCTCTCCCTTATTGTCTTGGGACCATGACCGAGAGTCTGTGCTCCCTCTCCTGTCCATTCTCCCAAGAAATCACCCTAGCTCAGTTTTATGTCCTTAAATCATTGTCTTCCCTGGTTGCCCACTCGCAGTGAAATTCACAGGAAAAGTATGTTCTGTGCTACTGCCCCCACAGCCTATGAAACTGTAGGTTTTACACGTGTAATGTGAAATAGCTCTGGGACTAAGGTTAGCCATTTACGTCTGAGGGATGGAATCAGGCTTCCTTTGAGGTGGTTGAATCCAGCTCTGGGTTTTAAATGTACAGAATTCTCATATCGATCAGTCCCTGTCTTTACCTGGACTCTCATAAGACCTTTATTCAGCAAGAACCTCAGGGCTTGTATGTCACATCTGCTCAAAGTAGAGCCAGACAAAAGTAGCTTCCGGCCATGTTGGAGGAATGCCAGTAGTAAGTGGCTGATAGCCCGCAGGTGGTCATGGACTAAGAGTCCCCACATACCTTTTTGCTGGTGGTGAAATACAAACAGTGTATGATAGTTATGCTGACAATATGCTCCCTGGTTTATAGGTTGACACTAAACCACTGGGCAACGCTGGCCAGGCTTTTGCAGGTAGAATTTAGACTCTCCATTTCTCTGCATTGTTAGATCACAGATGAAAACAGGGGAATTACAATTTCTATGCTAATCATTGTCATTATATAATCTATATCAAGTAGATTTTTAAGTTGTATGCTATATTCTGATGCCAAGCAATTTTAAAGAGGCTTATGCTTTTGTTTTTTAATTCTCACCAGAGGATATTTTTCCGTTGATTCTTAGAGAATGTGGAAGAGAGAGGGAAAGAAACATCTCTGTAAGAGAAACACGATTGGTTGCCTCCTGCGTGAGCCCGTCCGGGGCCAGGACCGGGGAGGAGCCTCCAACCAAGATACGTGCCCTTAACCCGAAGCCAGGATCCCTCAGTCCACAGGCCAACACTGTTGTCTATCCACTGAGCCAAACCAATCAGGGCAAGAGGCTTATGCTTTTAATATCTCTTCCTATATTCAGGACTATCTCCTGTTTCAGATGCAATTTAAAAGATATTTCAAAGTCAGTTATATTTCTGAATTTTTATTATTTTTTATTATTTTTTAATTTTTTTTAGCATTCAGGATGAATTTAATTCAGCTTGTGCGTGATCACTGGGTACATATACTTGTCCCTATGGGATTTGTCGTTGGATGTTATCTAGACAGAAAGAGTGAAGAAAAGCTAACTGCCTTCCGGAACAAGAGTTTGTTATTTAAAAGGTTAGTTTGGGCATTTTTAAACCAACAGCCAGCTTTTGGAAGTATTCTTAGTATCATATACAACAAAAATAAACAGAAGGGTTTACCCCAAGGACTTAGATTTAAATGATATTTTGTAGTCTTGTTTGTGTTTAATGAATGCATAAAACTGCATGATTATATTTGGAATGTAAACAAGTCTTCAGCTTATGATCAGACTATTTCAGATTTTTTTTAAAAATCCCCCTTTTTTGGAATTCAGAGTACTTTTTAATATGGAAACACTGCTTGAAATTAAACCAGCCCCCCAAAGCCTACTTTATATACAGCTTTCACATATATTATGACATACCATCTTATTTAAGTCATGGTGTAGCAGAAATAAATGGTGCTGTGTGGCTTGGTGGTCTGTTCTCAGCATCACAGCCCCAGAGCTTTAGACTTGGTGGTTGAGTGACCAGATGGCAGCTGGTAGCCGCCTGGTTCCATTGTGTCTGGCAGCAGGGAGCAGCAGGGAGCAGGGAGTCTGCCCCTGCATGTGAGCTGGCAGGAGGAAGCTCAGAGGACTGGAACTGAGCAGTAGTCACAGTCCCTGCAGAAGAGATTCACAAGCAAGGATTTCAAGAAAGATAAAATGAGCTGGAAAAGGTCTAGAAACAATAAATAAGCTCATTGAGTTTTTATATGAAGACAAAGAAATTACAGTTTAATCTGGAAAAATATAATTGAAAAGATAGTAAAGGTTTAAAATCATGAGAGAATAGAATATGTTGGATCAACATAAAATCTATTAAATGGGTTAATAGAGTACAAAATACTGAATTTATATTGTTCTGACTTTTCTTTTATTCGTCATAAAAGTTTTAATACTTTTTCTTTCCACACAGAGAACTGAGACCCAATGAAGAAGTCACCTGGAAGTGAAGGCTGTGGCTGAATTACAGAATGGCCACATTTTGTAAATTATCAGAAAAATAAAAAAACTGAACAATTTGGAATGTGGTCCTTTTTTTATTTTTTGTTTTTTATTGTATTGGTTTTTTACAGAGAGGAAGGGAGAGAGGTAGAGAGTTAGAAACACCGATGAGAGAGAGTCATCCATCAGCTGCCTCTTGCACACCCCCTACTGGGGATGTGCCTGCAATCAAGGTACATGCCCTTGATTGGAATCAAACCCAGGACCCTTCTGTTCGCAGGCCAACGCTCTATCCACTGAGCCAAACCGGTTTCGGCTGGAATGTAGTCCTTTTAATGTCAAAGTAATCTTTCACATTTCAAGTAATAGGTACACTAGCTTTCAAAATAATTAGAGTGTCTGGTTGTGTACATTGATGTTAACTTTACAACTAGTATTTAATTTTCTGTTACGTTAGATCACAGTAATACTTATGTAGCCAGTATTTTCCTCAGATATTTTTCAGAAAATTATTTTCAAACCATGTGCTTCAAAGGAGCTTTAAAAGGAGGATGCTAAGATTTTATTTGCAATAAAAAGAAATGATCTATTGATACAACAGTAATGAATGTCAGTTCATTATCCTAAGTAAAAGAAGCCAATCATAAAGAGCACACACACTAAATGATTTCATGTAGATAACATGTTAGAAACTGCAAACTAATCCAGTGCAGAAAGGAGTCGGGAGGAAGATTGACAAAGTGACACATGGCAGTGGATATATTACTGTACGTTTTCTTGATTGTGATGGCTTCATGAGTGGATATATATGTCACCTGTTAATGTTCAACTACCTTTTCTTGGGAAATTAGTTTTAGATTGAGTATAGACATAAAATTGCAATGGAATAATACACCCTGATTATCACTAATTCTTGTCGGAACGCAAGATACAAATTGACATAAATTTTAAAATGTTCAGTGTTAAAATTTCTAAGCTATTTGGTTTTTAGTAACAAAATCCAGTTTAAAAGGTACAATGTTGAAGAAGACAAACATGCGCACTCTCACTCGTTAACAGTTCTACTGAAGTGGGTTAGAGAAAAGCTGACAGAGGAAGTACTAGCAGTGCATGTATTCTGTCTACCCTGTCTCCGGAGCCCTCCTGGTTAGCTCTACCCTCTCCTACTGAATTAGTGTAATACTCGGGCCAATGAGTCAAAAAGAATTCATGCATTTATTCACTGCTCTATACCAGCTCTTGAATACATAAGGAGTAAAACTCTGATCCTCAAAAAACTGGTTTCCTTTTCTATCTCAAAAAGGCTAACCTCTGGGTTTCCCCGCACATTCTTCCAGAAATTTGTATTATATATGCACACACCAAGACATCACACACAATATGTGTTTCTCTACATGGAAAGAAAATCAGAAAAAATGTTTTGCATATTTTTTCGCTTCATGAGACCATGATTTGTTTCTCCAATTGAGCCACAATTCCTTAAGAACGTGGACTGTTTTCCCAATACCATACAGGATTGTGGGCTGCATGGAGAGAATAAATGGCAACCGATTCCTCCCCTAAGCACCTGGGCCTCACTAGCAGCTTCCATTTCCTCACCTCCCACTGCTCCTTCTGTTCCTCTGAACCCACACTCACCAGTGTTACGAGTGGTCTCCATAGCAGCAAACTTTAGTGGGCCCTTGTCCTTATGTAGCAGGACCCATTGGCAGCAACATGGCTGCTCCCTGAAACATTCCCTTTTCAGGGCTTTTATAATATTACATGCTCCTGCTCTTTCTCCCTTCGCCTGGGCTGGTACATCTCTACTCTCAGGGTTCTGCTATAGATCCTTTTCTCAGTCTCTTCCTTTTCCCAGTTGGTGATTCTATTCACACCTGTGCTGTCAGTAGCCTTTTCTATGTCAACTACCTGTTCCACAACTGAATCAGCCTCCTGCACTCCAGACTATATATGTGTGTGTGTATATATACATATATATGATATATATCTCACACACACACACAAGGCCAATGGCACAAAATTCGTGCAAGAGTAGGCCTTCCTCCCCCTTGGCTGCTGGCACCAGCTTCCCTCTGGCACCCAGGCTTCCCTCTAAGAGGGAGGTCCTGCCCACCCGCCACAGCCTACCAGTTGGTGGCCTGGGCTTCCCTCTTTGGGTCAATCATTGGGCGATGGCTGGGCCCCTGACCAATCACATCGCATGTGCCTTGGCTGGCCTGGCACCAGTTGTAGTAGCATGGTGGTCTGGAAGGTCTTTCAGCCTAATTAGCGTATTACGCTTTTATTATTATAGATATCCAACCATTATTCAACATAACCACGTAACCTGGCTTCAAGATGCAAGATCTCCTATTTATTCTACACTATCAGCTTCATCAAACTCTTGTGATCCCCAACCCTAACTTTACTAGGGTCACGTGAGATCCCTCTACTGACACTTCCTTTTCAGTGCCTGCACACATAACACTAATAACAAGGTGTCTGGATTTGGACCCCAGCCCAGAACCTTGGACACTGTGCTGTTCATATCTCCTCTGTCCTCAGTTTCCTCTTGTGTAAAATAGGGATAATAGTGCCTGCCTCAAGCATTGCTATAGTAAATTCATTAATATATGCAAAGCTCAGAAAATTCCCTACCCTCCAGTAAGTCCCATCTCCGTCTAAATAATGACTATAATTTTTATACATAAGTGCTAGGTACTCCTGGTGGCAATGATGCCTGTTTCCTTTTTAATATATTTCTTTATTGATTTCAGAAAGGAAGGAAGAAGGAGAGAGAGAGAGAGAGAGAGAGAGAGAGAGAGAGAGAGAGAATCATTGATCAGCTGCCTCCTGCATGCCTGCAATGGAAATCAAGTCCACAACCAGGGCAAATGCCCTGATAGGGATTCCAACTGGTGACCGACCTCCTAGTTCGTAGGTCGATACTCAACCACTAAGCCATGCCTGCTGGGTGATCCATTTCTTTCTTCCTTTTTTTTTTTTTTTAATATATTTTATTGATTTTTCACAGAGGGAAAGGGAGAGAAATAGAGAGCTAAAAACGTCGATGAGAGAGGAACATCGACTATCTGCCTCTTGCACACCCCCTACCGGGGATGTGCCCGCAACCAACGTACATGCCCCTGACCAGAATGGAACCTGGGACCTTTCAGTCTGCAGATCGACGCTCTACCGCTGAGCCAAACCGGTTTTGGCGATCCCTGTTTCTTAATAAGGCTTTTAGTGGGGGGTAGAGGAGAAATATATTAAATAATTATCATCAGATATGATAAGTAGAAAGTACAAAGTTTAGTGGAAAACAAAAAGAACATAGAACCTGCCAAAACCGGTTTGCCTCAGAGGATAGAGCGTTAGCCTGTGAACTGAAAGGTCCCAGGTTCGATTCCGGTCAAGGGAATGTACCTTGGTTGCAGGCACATCCCAGGTGGGGGTGTGCAGGAGACAGCTAATCGATGTTTCTCTCTCATCAATGTTTATAATTCTCTATCCCTCTCTCTTGCTCTCTGTAAAAAAAAAAAAATCAATAAAATATATTTAAAAAAAAGAAGAAGAACATAGAAACATAGAACCTGGAAGGTCCTTCAGAATCCATAGCAATGGGTGGGAAGTGGAGAAGATCCTCCAGACCGCAGGCGGCGCTGCAGCACCCCCTGGCCTGCCAGCTAACAGTGGATAGGAGGACGCAGTCACATAGGTCACGTGTCCCCGCTTTTTTTACCGCCTCGGCTTTCACTCGTTCTTCTCGCCACGTGACTATCACCCTCGGTGGTGATTGGTCTGCGCGAGACACGTGGCCAGGGGCGGGGCGGGGCTGGCGGGGCGGGGCCGGGTGGGCGGAGGGGTGGGGCCGGGCCGGGGGCGGAGCAGTAGGGGGTGGTCTAGCGCGGGGGGCCGTTGGCTCCAGACAAATAAACATGGAGTCCATCTTCCACGAGAAAGTGAGTGTCCGCGTTCGGGGGCGCCTGCGGGCGGCGCCGGGGCGGGCGTGGGGCGCGGTGTGGCCGTCTTCCACGGAGCTGGGTGGGGCTCGCGGCGCCCCCATCCCGATCTCGTGGGGCGGGGAGACCTTCCTCGGGAGGGGAGCTTCACGGAAGCCCCCGCTGCACTCTCTCCGCCCCTGAGGCCCGTGCCCGTGCCCGAGGTGCCCGGGGGGCCTGGGGCCTGCGAAGTCCCGGGAAGCCGGGAGGGGGTGAGGGCTGAGCCGTGGGCGCCGCGGGGCACGGGAGACGGGGTGGCACCCAGTGGGTTTGCTTCTGCGTGTCCGCCCCCCCCCCTTCCTTTCCGTGGGGTTCCCTCTCCAGTCCTTTCTCCCCCCCTCTACTCGTGGGTTGTAGCTCGTCACCTCTCGGACACCTCCCTCGATCCTGCCAACTCTTACCAGTCCTCCTCGAGGCAGAATTAACTTTTCCTTCTCCGGGCTCCTCAGTGTCCTATTGGAGCCTCCCACTCGCTCAGCTCCTCCGGGGTGGCTGTGCTCAGGTCCTGCTCCTGCACCCGTTCCGTGAGACTCGGGGTGCGGGGAGCGTGGCTCCCAGCCCACGGAGGGCCTGGCATTTAGGCACGTCCACGGGGAAGTCGTCACGAGAGTTTTTTTGTTACGAAAAGGTGTGGGTTTAATTTCTCTAGGTTTCGTTTCTTTCGGTCGCCCCATCTTGCCGGAATAGGAAACCAGTTTTCTTCACTAGGTCTCCGGGCTTGGACTGGAGGAATAATAGTGTGGTCCGCCTCGCCTGTTTTGTTTTGGTTCTTCCATGACCTGGAACTTGAAAGATACTGTGTGTGGCACGCGGAGAAACTCGTGTTTCCCCACATGCAATTAGCTAGCGATGTAGGTTTGAGTGAAACTTTTGGCACACATGATACCTTGTTTCATAAGAGTTTCACGTTTTTTGAACGGGTTGCTGGTGAGGCTTTTTTTTAGTAGGAGGGAAGAGGGTTTTGTCTTGTTAAGTACTTGTAAATGAGCACTTATCTATTTGAAAAGATTCACACACACAACACC